TTTTTTTTTTTTTTTTTTGGTCTTTTTGAGATAGGGTGTTGCTATGCAGTTCTAGATGTTCTTGAGCTCACTTTGTAACCCAGGCTGGTCTCAAACTTGCAATGATCCTCCTGCCTCAGCTTCCAGAGTGCTGGGATTACAGGCCTGTGCCACTTCATCTGGTCCAGATCTCTACTTCCCAAGGTCCAGTACCGATATACTGTAAAGCCCAGAAGAGTGGCTCAAAGATGTAGAAACTCAGACTGCGGACGACTACCTGGGCGACTGTCCTTAAAGAAGAGCAGTTGTCTCCATTTTGGTTGTGTCTGACCCTATTTCCATGTATTGGCTTGCTCCGAATGCCTTCAGGGCATGTTTGGCTGGCTGGAGTTGCAAGGATCGAACCACAGCAACCTGAGCCTGATTGCTTTGTTGAAGCAGCCACTTGAAGTGAGCTAAGGGGCGGGCCCCCTATTTCCATGTATTCATAGGTACAGAGTTGGCTAGGACTTTTCCTTATCCCTTCAATTGGTTTTAAGCAATGCATATTGGTCTAGCCTAGGTGCTAGTGGTGGTCTCTGAAGACTGGCACATGGGTTTCCCTGATAACCCACACTTCTGCTCTTTAATACAAGCCAGGTCGAGACAGGAAGAAGTCAGTGCTTCACACCGTTGGCTGGGATCGAGCCTTAAGACAGAGGCTATGACTTCCTGGGGTTTGAAAGAGTACACATCAGAGCTGAAGCACTGGACCCCAAAACAGAAGATATTATTTCAATAACATAATGTAAACTACGTTTTCTGCATATCGCAGAGGTAAATGCAGGCCTCCTACCTAGTCCGGCTCACAGTACTCACCTACTTTCTGCAATTCTCACTCATTCATCCTCAAGCCCCTCCTCCTTCATGACTGAATAAAAACCAGATTCGGCCCTCAGTTGAGGCCTTTGCTCCAGAAAGCCATCACCATGGCTGGACTTAGGACCCCTTGGCTCCCCATAACCATAAATATGCTTTAGTGTCTTTATTCTCACCATGGGTTACACTGGACATGGTAGATTAGAATTAACTTGAGATTCCAATAGCTTATGTATGGGATTACAAATATATATTTATTGGACCAATATGAGGACCAAAAAGGGCTCCCTACAGAGACAATGAATAGAGCACACACTTTCAAGATATTTAGAAGCAAAAAGAGAGAGAAAATAACAGGATAGATAAAGACTTCTATATTGGTGTCAGGGGGAGTCTTGAATGCACATGTAGGAGGTGGAAAGGAACCAGAGCAAGAAAATAATGGCTAGTTTACAGAGCAACAACATTCTAAAGGTGAGCAAGGATGGAGGCTTGTATACAGTACACAGCATATTATGGTAAGGAGGAGGATAGGACTGTCAAATTTATGGTAAATTCCCAGTTGAAGGAAGGCTGCAATTCAAGGTTATTAATTTGTCTTTCTGAAACAGGGTTTTACTATGCAATTCAGCCTCTCTGAACTCAAAGTGATCCTCCTGTCTTAGCCTCCTGAGTGCTGGGATTACAGGTTTGTGCCACCATACTTGGCCAGTCACCAATTTTTTGTCTTTTTTTTTTTTTTTTTTTTGTCTCTTTGAGACACGATTTCCCAAAGCAGTTCAGGCTGGCTTTGAATTTGCAGCAATCTTCCTGCTTCAGGCTTGTGAGTGTAGGATTACAGGTGTGTGCCATATATATATAATTTTATTTTTTTGGTGGAACCAGAGATTGAACTCAGGCCGTTGTACTTCCTAGGCAACTGCTTATTCTACTGAGCCATCTCCCCAGCCCAAAGTGACCAAGGATAAGTCAAAGGATAACTAACTTGAGTACAGACACTAAGTGTGAAGCTAAGAAATTTTGATGTAAAACTAAAAACCATGGAAGATGTCTTAGTGGGGCTGGGTGGGCTTTTAAGACTAGAAAGCAGGGGCTTAGTGGTAGAGCACTTGTCTAGTATGTGGGAAGCCCTGGGGAGCACTTGTCTAGTACGTGGGAGGCCCTGGGTCCAATCTCTAATACTTGGGGAAAGAATTTTTTGGGGGAACATTATGAAGTGTGGTCTTGAGTAGGATGAAAGTAGAAACAACATTCAAGGAAATTAAATGACTAGAGTGGAGCTGATGAGAAAGATATACATATACCTAACAAATCAAATATTCATGGGGACAAAAATACTCTGGAGGATAATTTATTGTACTAATAAACTTTCTAGACCAGAGGAAAATTAGAAAGTAGGAACTATAACATCACAAACCCTGTCCTTGGAACAAGGATCTTTTTTTTTTTTTTTTCGGTGGAACCAGGGATTGAACTCAGGCCCTTCGGCTTGCCAGGCAAGCACTTATCCTACTGAGCCATCTCCCTAGCCCCGGAACAAAAATCTTGAGAGGCAAACTCCAGAAATCTACAAGTACGGACAATTGGAGTACATGGCTTTGTAAAATCTAAAACAAGTTGCGGCAGAGCTTCCAGGCCGATGAGATGGCAAGCAGGAGGGATGGCAAGCCCAGACAACAGTTGGGAATTGAGTGGGGGCTTCTTGATCTGACTACAGGCATACGGTTTGTACCTAGGTGGCACCATGAGTGTCATGGACAGTATTACGAGTTACTAAAGAAATTCACGTTTGTCAGAGATATAGCTCAGCAGCATAAGCATCTGCCTGACAAGCACAAGGTCCTGAGTTTGACTGCTGGTACCTAAGACGAACAAAAAGCTCTCAAGAATTCATGTTAAGGGCCGGGGAGATAGCTCAGGAGAATAAGTGGTTGCATGGCAAGCTCAGGGTCCTGAGTTCAATCCCCGGTACTGAAAGAAAAAAAAAAAAAAAAAATTCATGTTAAAATATATCCTCCCTATCAGCTGTGCATGGTGGAGTTCAGGAGGCTGAGATAGGAGGATCTCTGCGAATTCGAGACCAGCCTGGGCTACAAAGTGAGCTCAAGGCCAGCCTGAACTGCCTGGCAAAAGCTTATCTAAAACGACAAAAAAAAAAAAAAAAAAAAAAAAAAAAAAAAAAAAAAAAAAGAAAAAAAAAGGAGGGGGATGCTTGATGGCTTTTCAAGCTCCTTAGTAACTGGGTTTTTTTTGGTAAAAGACCCTTTATAAACACACCCCCCAAAACCTCACGAATCACATAAAATGCTATGATTTTAGGGGATCTATGAACTTTGGAAATCCATCTACAAACCTTGCACACACTGATTAAATGCTCTACCAGAGATCCTTTCATCTTCTTTTGACTTTGCATAGCATAAACACAACTAACTCCAGGGAAGCCGCTATAGTCTGGATGTTTCAGAGGGCTATTTGGGCCTTCTGATTACTTCGGGCTACAGCGCCATTGACTCTTCCAGCAAATATTTACTAGATGCCCGGGCATACACGTTCGGTGTCAGGGACTAGGCGCATGAAGCTAGAAGTCACCACTGCTGTCCTGGATAAGCCTACTCAGGTATAAGAACATCTAAATTTAAGAGGTATTCTGCGGGGATAAAAGGCCTCTGAGCTGGCAACCTGACTTCCATTTCTCCATATCCTAAAACTATGTTCGGCAACTCAATGTCAGCCGTTTTATCTGTTGAATGGGATTAACAAGTAGCATGAAACTGCTCAAAATCTTCAAACTTTTGTCCAAATGAACACAAATGAGAAAATCCAAGTTTATCAGGAATAACAGTTCCAAGCGCAAGGCCCTCCTCGGTTCAAGTCCCAGAAAAACACAAAACTTTAAGAAATATATTTGGCAGAAGCAGCACTCCTGAGGGCAGCGACCAGCTCTTTTCATCCCTCCAGACAGCCACGCCGACGCGCACGCGGTCGGGATCCGCTTCACAAGGCTTCCCGGATGGATCAAGTTCCGCTTCCGGGCAGGTTTTGGCTGTGGGCGTGAACGCAGGGATACAGACGCTGGCTCCGGCTGGCTGTCTCTCCTGCGCATGCTCCGGAGAAGAGGCCGGTACCGGAAGCGCGGGGGCGTGGCGAGACGCCGCGCAGCACCGTTGGTTTTCTCTGAGGCGGTGCATGGGAGGCGGGGGGCGCGCGCGCTCATTCGCGCGGCCCCTGCGTACAGTAGTGACGACCGCGCGGGAGCGGTCACATGACTAAAAGCGGCTGCCTGTACAGTAAGAACCCAATATGGCAGCGGCGGTAGCAGTGGCAAAGGCAGCAGAAGGACCGGCCGCCCCATAGACCCCCCCCCTCCCGCGCGCGCACTTCCCCCGCCGCTTCCTCTGCTAGGGTGCTTCTCCGGCCTGACTTCCCCTTTCTCCCACCTTTCCCGGCACCGCGGGAAAAGCAGCGCAGGGCAGAGCAGTCAGGGAGTGCGGCTGGAGCCGGGACAAGGGAGCCTCCCAGTCCGTTCAAGACCCGACATGAGGGAAAAGGGCCGTAGGAAGAAGGGCAGGACCTGGGCGGAGGCCGCCAAGACGGTAAGGGGGAAAGAACGAAGGGGAAGGCTAGGAGGACTTCGTTCCCTTGCCGCCCGCCAGTTACAGGGGAAGGGAGGTCACTGGCCCCGCGACCTGGCTGAGGGGGCGCAAAACCGCGCGGAGAGGGCGGCGGTTAGAGTCGGGTTTGCGATCCTTGTGGGAATGGAGGCGCCGGCGGGAGGGAGTCGCGGCGGGGCTGTCGCTTCTCTCAGCCTCTGCCACGAGTCCTGTTATTTTGAGGCTGTCTCGGGTCATGTCGCTGTCGCCCCCACTCTGTGGTAGTCCCCGCCCCGGCTTGGAGCAGTCTGTTGTGCTTGCACAGCAACCGGTTCTACTCCCTTGTGCGTCTGAAGAGCCCCCCATTGGATGCAGACAGGGGAAGGCTTGTGCGTGCCTCCAGCCCAGAAAGAAGAGGAGAGCGCTGGAGCTTGATAGAATTTATCCTCTGCAGTAGACGTGCCACCAGACCCCGGACCCCCTGCTTCTCTGGCTCCCCGAGCCGACATGAGGTCATGAGGCTTTTGTTTTTGTTTGCTGTTGGAGCGGAAAGTGCAGGAGGTATTTAGAAACGGAGTAACAGGTGGGACTTGTAGATTTTTTTTTCTGTTTCCGTAGAGACCTACTCTGAACGAGGCAGCAATGCATAGTGGGATGTGTAGTTTACCGGGCTTTTATTATTCTGTAGTCAAAGTGATGGTGACTGATGAAGTTGTGACGGAGGCAAAACTATTTTTTAATTTTAGTTGTAAGAAACTTTAGAAGCAGTTTTTAAAAAGGCGTTAATATTGAGGATTAGTGAAAACGTCTATATTTTAGGGAGAAAAATTAAAATCGTGTATTTATCTAAAAATGAAAAGGGACAAAGTGAAGTTCATTCTATTGTTGAGGGTGCAACAGAAAAGTAACGGGATTAAACAGTAGCAGTTCAGTTTGGAACGAGAGCGTTGTTTACTCCTTTTCTTGTTTACTCCTTAATAGTTGGGCAACGCAGTTTTTCTAAATGAACCTTTAAGTGTCATATTGTTTATGTATTTGGCACAAGGAATTGAACTCGAACTCAGGCCTTGCATTTGCCAGTCAGGCGCTGGTGCCGCGGAGCTATATCCTCCGCCCGTATGTGTGTGTGTGTGTGTGTGTGTGTGTGTGTGTGTGTTTTAAATTATTTTTATTTTTATTTTTTTGAGGAAGGGTTTGGCTGTATAGTTCAGGCTGCCTCTGAACTAACTATACAGTATGACCCAGACTGGTCTTGAACTGGCAGTGATCCTTCTGAGTGCTGGGATTACAGGCGTGTGCCTTCACACCTGGCTAGTTTATTTTTCAAATGAGATTTTTTCTGGTTGTACAAATGAGATTTTTTCTGGTTGTAATTATTGCTCATTTTGTGGGAAAATTGGTAGTTATACAGAAGTATAGAGAGAATTAGTCATGTGTTGCACTCTTTAGCCTTTAGCATTTGGTATATTATTGTCTAGCCTGATTTATTTCACTCAGTCTAGATCTTTGAATCTTGTGTATTTGTTTTGTGAACTTTATGTACTTGAGGGCTGGTGAGTCCTCAGCTTGTGTTTCTGTTTTAGTGAAAAAGAAAAAAAGAAAACACTTTTTTTTCTTAATACTTTTTTAAACATTTTTTTCCCTCTCTCCCACCCTCCCCTCTTCCTGTCCTGTCACCCTGTCTCCCTGTTTCCCTCTCTTTTTCTTTCTTTGGTACAGGGTCTCATTATGCAGTTTGGACTGGCCATCATGGTAAATCCTGGTTTACCAGGGTTCTGGGGCCAGTATGGCATGCACTACTGGGGATTGAACATGGGTGCTTGCCAGGCAGACAGACTTGGGATGCTGTCTTATCTCCCCAGCATCTGCTGATTTGTTTTTTTTTGAGACAGGGTCTTGCTGTGTAGTGCAGGCTGGCCTTGAACTCACTGTGTAGCCCTGATGGCTGTCCTACTTGCAGCTGTTGTTTACTTCTTGCTGTTAATAGAAGAAATTTGTTTTATTTACTTATCTTTTTTTTTTTTTTTTTGGCGAAACCAGGGATTGAACTCAGATCCTTGTGTTTGCCAGTCAAGCGCTTATCCTACTGAGCCATCTCCTCGGCCCCTGCTTATCTTTTTGAGACAGGGTCTCACAGTGTAGTTGAGGCTGGCCTTGAGCTCACATTGCAGCCCAGGCTGGTTTGGAACTAACAGCATTCCTCCTGCTGTAGTCTCCTGACTGCTGGGATTACAGATGTGGGCCAACACTCCCAGCTGGTTAATTTTAATTATGAATAAGTAGTCCCTAATTTTTTTTTTTTAAATTTTATTTATGTGTGTGTGTGTGTGTGTGTGTGTGGTCAGCTCAGCCCACCAGGGGGCGGGGCTGACTGGCATGTGGTGCTGGGGATTGAACCGCGGTCCCTGTACTTTGCTCAACTTGTTCTAAGTAGGTGCTTTAGACCACTGAGCCATCTCACCAGCCCCCTAATCTTAATTATGTTAATTTTTAAGTCTCTGGAAGTTTAAGAATACTTTCTGAAATATGATCTCCTTGGGTAAAGTGGTCTAGTCACTGGGAGATTGTGACACATGGGAAAAATAATTTGCACCTGTTTGGATTTTCCAATAATAAATTAGCATATTTGCTTATTTCATGTTCCAGCTAGCTTTGTGAAAAATAGTATATATTTGAAAGCTAGAAAGGTGAACTGGGGGTGTGTCTCAGCGGTAGACTGCTTGCCTAGCATGCACAAGGGTCTGAGTTTAATACCCAGTGTCACCAAAAAAAATAAAAATAAAATAAATAAAACAAAGGCTAATTTATTTATTTAAAAAATTTCTTTTAAATTTATTTTTGTGTGTGTGTGTGTGTGTGTGTGTGGCCATCTCAGCCCACCAGGGGGCGGGGCTGGCTGGCATGTAGTGCTGGGGGATTGAACTGTGGTCCCTGTGCTTTGCTAAGCTTGTTCTAAATAGGTGCTTTAGACCACTGAGCCATCTCACCAGCCCCAAAGGCTAATTTATTTTGGGAGGGCGGGTACAGGAGTTGAACTCAGGACCTAGTGCTTGTCAGGCATGCACTGTGCCACTGAGCTAAATCCTTGGCAGAATCCTTGTATTTAGTGATACAGTTTTGGATGAGTTTGCCAAGAGGACTGGTGTAGTAACTTGGTACTATTAATTTGATTCTCATAAATATATTAAGCCCAGTACAAGTAAAAATGAATTTTTTGAAAGAGAATGGTGACATTAGTTTTTCTCTAGTAGCCAAAGTCTAGAAAACACTACTTGTAGAGTAAACGGATTAAATTAAGTCACAGTGGTAAGATGGTTTTTGTTTGTGTGAGGAATTGAAGAGAAAATAGGAGTACTAGATACAAGTAAATCCCCCCCCCCCATGGGTACAAGGGATTGAACTCAAACCTTGCACTTGCCAGGCAGGTGCTTGTGCCACTGAGCTATCTCCCTGGCCCCCACAAGTAAATCTTTAGCATTTCAGACTGTAGAATAATGACATCTGAAAATCAATGATTTGACAAATGCACGTCTTATAAGACAGCCTGGACACAGTGACACATACCTATGATCTAGCGCATGTGCAACATCCCCAGCACAGCAGCAGCTGGGGAGGAGGGAGCAAAAGATAGCACTGTTCTGTTTTTTTTTGATTTTTTTTTTTTTTTTTTAGTACCGGGGATTGAACTCAGGACCTTGTGCTTACCAGGCAAGCACTTATTCTACTGAGCTATCTCCCCAGGCCCTGTTCTGTTTTTTTGAGTAAGGATTTCATTATGCAGGTCAGGCTGGCCTTGAGCTCACTTCAGGTAGTCCTTTTGCAGGTCAGGCTGGCCTTGAGCTCACTTCATGTAGTCCTTTTGCCTCAGCATCCTGAGTGCTGGGATTACAGGCATGAGCACCTTGCTTGGCTACCTCTGATGTTTTCGAACATTGCTCAGTCTCTTCAGTCTACCACAACTAGGCAAACATTAGAAGGGAAAAGTAAAAAAAAAAAAAGGAAAAGTGTCACCAAACTATGAGGGACAGTATGCACACATACAGGAATGTATGAGTGCTGGAAGGGACACTTAGAGATAGATAGTATACTAGTGGTACCTTTGGGTATCTTTTGGGGGTAATACAGTCTGAGAAGTAAAATGTGAGTGTTAAAGTGAGGAGCACTGTATAATTTAGATACTTGGAAATGATTTAGAGACTGAATAATAAGTTTTTAAAAAAATTTTATTTATTTATGTGTGTGTGTGTGTGTGGCCAGCTCAGCCCACCAGGGGGCGGGGCTGGCTGGCATGTGGTGCTGGGGGATTGAACCGCAGTCCCTGTGCTTTGCTAAGCTTGTTCTAAGTAGGTGCTTTAGACCACTGAGCCATCTCACCAGCCCCGAATAATAAGTTTTTAAAAAATATTCTTTTGTTTTTTGTGCTGAGGATGAACTGAAGGCTACCAGGCAGAACCCAGGTTTTGTAGGCTAGCAGTCTACTGCTGATCTAGACTCTTCCAATACTCTGTCAGATTTAATGATTAATGCTATTTTAATGTACACATGATCTTTTGTCATTTACTGTAGGTTATTTGCTTTTAGGAAATAAGGGTAACATTGATATATTACTTGGATATAGTACGGGAAGAAAATGGGAATTTTTTGAAGGTTAAGTTTCTAAGTCCAAGGTCTCCATCATGCTGGAACCCTAATTTAGCTCATGTTAAGTCCCTGGTCATTATTATTGTTGTTGCTAATACTAATATTATTATTATTATTATTATTATTATTGTGGAACCAGGGATTGAACTCAGGCCTTTGCACTTGCCAGGGAAGCGCTTATTCCACTGAGCCATCTCCTTGGCCCCTAATACTATATTTTAGACCAGGTCTTGCTGTGTATCTCAGGCTGGCCTCCAACTTGTGATCTTTTTGCCTCAGCCTCCCAAGTGCTGGGATGACAGATATGTATCATTACTAGGTTCCTGGCCTCAGTTGTTTGTTTATTTATTTCATAAATGTAT